GTTGTGTGTATGTGCACATGTGCGTATTTGTGTGTATGTGTATGCGTGTTTGTTTCCTGGTGCCTTATTGCAGCAAGTGATTTTAACGCGCATGTCTATGGCGCTCTGCACTCCTCACACAGCACTCGGACGAGCAAGTCATGATTGGCGTTCCCTTTGAGATCAAGGTGTGTGTGTATGTGTGTTTGTTTGTGTGTGTGTATGTGTGTGTGCGTGTGTGTGTGTGTGTGTCTGTGCGTTTGTGTGCGCGTGTGTTTGCTCCAACTGCTCTGTCTGTTTTGCCTACACTGCTTGTTTCGCCTTTAGTGTTGAAAGCCCCTGCTGCACGCACGCCCACTGTACATGCTCTCACCCATGCTGTCACACCCGCACGCTTCGTGCAGTACCTGGGCTCGATGGAAATCGACTACGTGCCACACAACCCACAAGCCAACAACCAACTCGCTGCAAAAGTCATGCACAAGGTACCTTGCCAGCTGCTGGGTGTTTCTTCGTTGTCCATGTGCCTGTCATGGATGACGTCGTGCTGACCGTCACTGCCCTCACCTTTGCTTGATCCCTCGGTTCCATGCCGTTGTGTCTTCTCACTCGCCTGCCACGCTCACCCCTTTGTTGGTCTCAATCGCGCGCACCTCTGTCAGATCAAGAGCATGAACCGCGAGGTGACGCACGTGACGCTGACCATTGCAGCCGGCCGCATCACGCTCCAGCGTGGCCACTCGGTGCGTAGCGTGGGGGCTGCCATGTTGGAACACATGGGTGTTCCGTGTGCACATGTGTTGGGAGATACACAGAGAGCGGGGTGTGTGTTGCGTGTGTGTTGCGTGTGTGTGTGTGTGTGTGTGTGTGTGTGTGGTGTGTGGTATCTTTGTTCATGTCTTCTTCTTCTTCATGTCTTCTTCTCCTTAATGTGCCACTCTGATGATATGTTGCTGGCGAAAAGGATTGCTGCCCTCTATCGTTCCTCACCCCTCCCCCCTCCAACCCCTCCTCACTCCATGCACTCCATTGTCGTGCCTGCATGCAACGCGCGGGTGTGCGAACATCATCAGGAGGTGCTGATGCGCCACTCGACGTCGCGCATCGCCTACTCGACGGTGGACACGACAGACCCAAAGCTCTTCTGCTACGTCGCCCTCCCGCGCTCCTCAAAGATTGCCCTCTGCCACGTCTTTGCCACCAAGTCCGCAAAGAAGGTTCGCCCGTGTGTCTGTGCATGTGTGCGTCTGTGTGTCTGTGTATTTGTGTATTTGTGTGTGTGTGTGTGTCTGTGTGTGTTTGTCTGTCTGCGTGTTTTATCGCACTTCGGGTATTGCTGTCGTTCTCCTTATGATTGCTCCTCACGCATCCACTCACGTCCCAACCTGCCCCTTCCCTGTCCAACACTGACGACCACAACACCATGGAACTGATGACGGCGGTCGCTGTAGAGCTACGAAATGACGTTCACGTGTGCGCACGCGTTCAACCTCAACTACCAGCGCTGGCAGAAGAGCAAGTCCAACGTTGATCTCCTCGCAACCGCCTCAGAGTCTGGCGATGTTGGTGCGTTCACATGCAGTGCTCTGTGTGTGTGTGTGTGTGCTCTGTGTGTGTGTGTGCTCTGTGTGTGTGTGTGTGTGTGTGTGTGTGTGTGTGTGTGTGTGTGCATTTGTAGGTGTCGGTGTTCATCTACAAACATATGTGGTTTCTTGTGTGCACACATGTGTGCCCACACACACGAAGGCCTTCCTCCACACATGCGCAACATCGTCTCCACCCATTCACCCCCCCCCCCCCTCATACCTCTCCCCACCTCTCCCCACCTCTGCTCCTGCTGCACGTCGCAGAGCCTGCGAATCCGATGAGGTCGCCTGAGGTGCGGCGGCGGCTGCTTGTGGTGCAGCAGCAGGCCCAAGACCGCGCACGCGCATCCTCCCTCTCAAAGTCGGAGGCGGTACGTACGCACACAGCAACGACAGCACTGGCAGTAGCAGCAGCAGCGCATCGGAGAGAGGAGGGGGGGATGTGAGGAGGAGGAGGAGGAGGAGGAGGGGGAGTGGGGAGAGTAATTTCATTGGTCTGTCTGTCTGTTGTATCTGCCTCGCCTTGTTGTTGATGGCCCAGCAAGCTCCCGGGCTCCCAAGTTGTCACGTTCCTCACGCTCGCTTCTCTCTCCAGGCCCGCGACTCCCCAAAGCCAACGCAGCAGCCAGCAAAGGAAGCGGTGTGTGTGTGTGTGTGTGTGTGTGTGTGTGTGTGTCATTTGCCTGTTGGTGTTTCCACTCATCACAGTTCTTGCGTCATTTCCACCACCATTACCGCTGGTGCTACTGCCACCACCACCACTGCCCCCCCCCCCCCTCACCACTTGTCCCTGTACCGTGTGCGCATTGCTGCAACAGCAAGTGGATGTGCAGGACGACAAAGGCGCCAACGACGACGAAGACGACGACGACCTCGGCTACATCCAGGTGCACACCACCATCCGTTCAAATCAGATTGCTTCATGTTGTCGTGTGTGTGTGTGTGTGTGTGTGTGTGTGTGTGTGTGTGTGTGTGTGGAGACATACGTGTGACCGAAACTGGACGGGGATACAAACCGAACGAGAGTAGAACGAGCGCTGATTATACAGGAAAAGATCCCCCGACCCTGACGTCGGCAGTGTTGTGTGTAACCGCGTGCCGGTCTGTAGCAAATGACCGCCGGGCTAACCGTACATTTACAACCTACCCTGTGACTTGTATCTTTTTGGTAGTCTGCATTACGGCTCACAAGTCGTGTGTGTGTGTGTGTGTGTGTGTGTGTGTGTGTGTGTGTGTGTGATGGACAACTGCTGTTGATCCCAGCCATCTTTCCAACCCCATCCCCCAAGTCTTCTCTCATCTCTCCCCGTGTCCTTCCATTTGCCCCTTCCCTTTCCCCTCACCTCCCACAGATTGATGGGCTGGAGGTTGAGGACGATGATCAGATTGAAAAGTCCGCAGAGCACTATTTTGCCCAGCTTGCAGAAGGTACACGCGTCTGTGTGTTCTGTGTGTGTGTGTGTGTGTGTGTGTGTCTCACTCACTCACTCTCTCTCTCTCACACACACACACACACACACACTCTCTCTCTGTTTGCTGACTTCGCTTGCTTACTTGTGAGTGACTTGTCTGTTTCATATGGCTTATGGTCCGTGTTGTCCCCTCACATCAACCCCCCACCCCCCACCCCTCCGCCTCCGCTCGTGTCGCGTTGCCAGCGCGGTCTGAGCCGTCGCTGCTTGACATTGGTGTGGACCCGGAGCAGTACAACCGGGCAAAGGCGCTCGAGGACTCCTCCTCCGATGAGGAAGACGAGCCAGACGAGTAGCCGCCACGCCGCCTGTACACATGCACGCAAACATGCACACTTGCTCACGTCGCTTCTTGCCCCTTTGCTGTGTTGCTGCGTGTTTGCTGTGCTTTTGGATGAGCAAACTCGGCTTACTCCGTTGCTGCCCACACATGCACACTCCTGCCCCTTGTTTCCTTGGACGCCTCTCGCTGCTGCCTGTTTCCTTACTCCCCATTGTGTTTCTTGCCATCTGCGTTTGGCTTCCCGCTTTTTTTTTCTTCTCACCACCCCTTTTGTCCCCCGCCTCTGTATCCCCAATGAATAGAGAAAGGACCACTCTTTCCTTACAGTACGACAGACAGAGCTGACTTTGGTGTCGTGTGTATTTGTGTTGAGCGTGAACGACGCATGGGTTTGGGAGAGCAAGGGCGCGGCAGTACACCCGCACGCAACCGCATGCAAGTGCAAACACACCCACACGCACACATGCACAAAAAACACAACCACAACAAAAAAACAGGGTCAAACGTGGCGGCACTTAGGGTCAAGCAAGGCAAGGAACGAATGACAAGCACGATGTGTCGTGAATAAAACGCATGGATGATGACGAAGGTGAAACAGGCATAAACGACAACCACGGTGTAAAGACGGGTGGAGGGAAGAAGAAGCAGCCAGCCAACACAGCAGGGGCAGGAACCAGAGAGGCGCAGCGCAGTCATGCATTGCATGTTGTCACCACGCCACAGCAGCACACCAAGCACAAGTCACTGGCTCCTCACAGGGTCGCTGGCAGCTGCGGGCGAGAGATAACAAAACGAAGGGAGAGCAGGCAGGCAGGCAGGTCCAGAAGCAACACGATGAAACAATCGGGAGCGGGGGAGGCAAGGCAAGGGTTGTTGTGTCCGCGTTGTCACGTTGTTACTGGTGGTGGACAATGGTGGTTCCCGTGGGGCGACTGTCGACAGGGCAGAAGCAGATGCAGGGGAACAGGAACAGGCCGATGATCCACGAAATGGGGCCGCAGTACGTCTCCTGCGAAAAAACAAGCGAAGTGGGCATGGATGCGACAGGAGAGGAGATGAGAGGAGAGGTGAGGTGGTGGTTTTTTTTTTTTTTTTGGAAGGGGGGGGGGTGCAAGTCGAAGACGAAGAACCAGTCCATGTGCACGATCACTGTGCAGTGGTTGAGATGTGTGCGCACGAAACACGCAAGGCCACTGCAGGAGGCAAAAGCAGCGAGGTCAAAAACAACGAAGCTCACAAACGAGGCATGCAGATTGAAATGGAAGCAAACACAACCATCAACACATACGTTCTCAGTCTGCACGACGGTGATGTGCTGCTGTTGACCCTGGGGAGGAGGGCCCTGATGGTGGTGATGCTGGTGCTGGTACTGGCCAGGAGGAGGAGCGCCATCTGCAAAGTCAACAAACGAGCGCGGGGGGAGGGGGAGGGGCGACACAAGCAAGCAAGGGGTGCAAGCGCACGTGGTAATCGTGAGGCGAAACGCACCAGTGTGACAGTGAAATGGGTGATGGTGACACCGAGATCTTACATGAGAAGGAACAGGGAGCAACAGCTCAGCCACATCAACAGCACGAACGCGCGCGCACACACGCACAAGCACAAACAACAAACAACAACACACGCACAAGCACAAACAAGCACAATGGTCTGTTCCCACTCCAAAACGCACATGGCTGCTGTGGGGGTGGCTGCTGGCCGTATGGCTGGTAGGGTGGGGGAGCGCCCTGACCCTTCTGCTGGTAGCCCGACATGATTGGTGGCAGTGGAGCTGGTGGAGGTGGTGGAGGGTGGAGGGAAGGTTTCAAGCGAGGACACGACACAAAGACGCAGGCAGGTGAGGCAAGCACACGCACGGGGACGGGAGAGAAATGGCTTGCTGGCTGGCCTTGCTTGTGGCTGGTGTGTCGCAAACGCAAGCAGACAAAGCTTGCTTGTTTGAAATGGGTGGAATGTCCCATTGAGGGCAGCTGGCAAAATGGAGAAATCGCAATTTTGTTGGTGATGACTCATCAACGCAAAGGAAGGAATGGGCGCAGCAAAAGCGGTTGCGGCGCTGGTGCTGTTGCTGCTGGTGGCTGTGGCAGTGCACGTGACAGAAGTCAGTGGCAGTAGTCAAACGTATTATGAGCTGCTAGAAGTGAACGTAGAGGCTAGTCCAAAGGTACGCATCGAGAGGGTGTGTGTGCATGTGTGCGCTGTGAGTGTGTGTGTTTGTGCGTTGTGTGTGTTTGTGAGCGCTGTGTGTGTGTGTGTGCATATGTGTGAGTGTTTGTGTGTGTGCATGTGTGTGTGTTTGTGTTCTGCGTCTGCCTGTCGATGTGCCTGACAGTGCACGTGACATCAGCCTTCACACACTCAATCACTCACACACACACACACAAATACACACACATACACACAAATATACACACAAATATACACACAAATACACACACATACACACACAAATACACACACACCGGTGCAGGAGATTCGAAGGTCGTTCAAGAAGCTGGCGCTGAGGCTGCATCCAGACAAGAACCCAGGCGACCCCGAGGCACACGACAAGTTCGTGCAGCTCAACGCCGCTTTCGAGGTGCTCAAGGACCCAAAGCTGCGGAAGATCTACGATGAGCACGGAGAACATGGCGTCAAGGAAGCACAAGAAGGCGGTGGCAACGGCCCTGGCACACGCCAGCGAGGCGGCTTCCACTCCTGGCAATACTACAAGGTGCGATGGAAGAGACTGCGACTGCGACTGCGACACACAACACACCACGTGCTTTGCAAAGTGCCACGTCGTGCGTGGTTCCCATGCAGCACACTGCCTCATGTAACGGCGCGTGTTCAGCACCGTTCTTCTGCTTCCACCAACACCAAACGCGCAGCGCATTGCCCCCCCCCCCACACACACACACGAACACGCACAGCATGTCATTGCCATGTTTTTTTTTCTAATTCCAACCGCTTGCCCACCTTCTCCACGCCCACTTGCTTTGCAACCAGGACATGAGCCTGTATGACGATGAGGAAGATGTGGAGACCTTCGCACAGAAGGACTTCTGGAGCTTGGCCGTGGACTCGGGCGACACCTGGTTTGTCAACTTCTACAGCCCAGGTGCGCATCTCTTTACCTCTGTCGGCTGGCCACCTGTGCCATCCGTCGTCGTCGACGCTGCTTCGGCTGCCACTACCGCTGCCACTGCGGCAGCAATACATGGCCTGTGTGTGCGTGTGTGTGTGTGTGTGTATGTGTGTGTGTGTGTGTGTGTGTGTGTGTGTGGCGCAGTTTTGTGGCATCAATTTCAGAGCTGCATGATGACTTGTGATCTCTCGCTCACGTGGACCGGGGGACACCCGCAACGACGACAACACCAGGGTGCAGCCACTGTCGAGACCTGGCGCCCACGTGGAAGCAGTTTGCGCACGTGCTGCGGGATGCGGTTGGTGTTGGCGCCATCAACTGCGAAGAGTTTTGGAACACGTGTCAGCAGCTACATATTCGCGCCTTCCCCACCCTCCTTCTCTTTCACAAAGGCGGTGCGTGCTCTTCAGCATTGCTTGGAAGGCCGTCGTCTTGCACGGCCGTGTGTAACGTGACATCCTACACACTGTGTGACTGTCTACTATCCCTGATGAATCAATTCCTTCACACACACACACACATCACTCACGCACACACACACATACACACACACGCATCACATCACACACACGCATCACATCACACACACACATCACATCACATCACGCACACACCCATCACATCACGCACACACACGCGTCAAACACACTGCACGCAACAGATGGGTCGTACACGCCCTACCGCGGCCGGGCGCGTGATATCGAGTCCCTGACGGCGTTTGTTGAGCGCCACCTGCCGCCGCCACTGGCCATCACAGCGCTGCTCACACCAACCGGCCACCTCACGTCAACCCTGCACCGCCCGCTCGCCATTGCTGCCTGCGTGTCCCCGACAACGGATGCGGAAACACACGAGTGTGTCGACCTCGCCCTCCGCGGCAAGCAGGTGTGCGGTTGTTCGGAGGCGAGCAAGTACTGTTGTATTAACACGACCTGAACTTGTTCTTCTGCGCTCAGTGCATACACACGCACACACACACTCTCTCACTCACACACACACACACACACACACACACACACACACACACACACACACACACACACACACACACAC